GTCGGGTTTTTGGTCCACCCGACCCGAGAACAAGGGAACCTCCACCCGACCCGAACAAGAGAACAAGGGATAGCCATTGGTCGGGTTGGGTTGGGTCGGATCGGGTATTTTTCACCCTAAACTCGAACCTGACCTGAATATCACACTTAAAAAAACCCGACCCAACCCGAATATCACACTTAAAAAAACCTGACCTGAATCCGACATGAATATCACACTTAAAAAAACCCGACCCGATCCGCCCCGAATATCAAACTTAAAAAAACCGACCCGACCCGAACCCAATTTTTTTTAAAAAAATCTGACCCGATCCCGAATTCTTTTTTAAAAAAACCCGACCCGACCCAAATATCAAACGTAAAAAAACTCGACCCGACCCGAACCCGAATTATTTTTAAAAAAAATCCGACCGATCCCGATTTTTTTAAAAAAAAATCCAACCCGAATACTAAAATATTGATGAGGGTAATATGATCAAATTTCACATTCTCTCTTCCAATGGATTTCAATTACATCATGTTATGGATGGAATTTACTTTCCCTCCCTTAATGGAATTGGATTCCAATTCTCCCTAATTTCAAGGGATTCCAGCGAACCAAACGCCACATAATGTTCAACCTAATTTACTTATTAAATTATATTTTGTATCTTTTAAATTTTGAATTAAATATTTATTAAATTCTTATTAATTTTAAAGTTGGATAATTCAACTCTTTTCATCGTCTTTTTTTGAATCAGTATGTTCTCTATGCATGCATGAGAAATGTACGCATATGCGTGCATTTCACAAGAACCTGCCAAAACCTCTTGGTTATATCCCGATACTTGCAATTTACAAGTTTTCCTTTACGCCAATAAGGGAATGCAACAGCAATATGCAGAGGCGGACTCATGACAAAAAATTAGGATTGTACAAAAATTCAGGTGTATTTCAATTCTCACAAAACTGAAAATAAGTATTTGATTCATAGGTTTAAGGTTTGTTTTTTTTGGCTTAATCTCTTTTTTTAATTTTAAATAGGATATTAATTTTTTTCTATAATAAAGAGCAATTATTACACATAATATTAGAGGTGATACTTGTATTAATTAAAAAAATTAGAAAAAAATTAATACTAAGTAGACAATTTTAAGGGATTGTTTGGGATTCCCAAGTCAACTATAAGGTCCGCCCCTGACAATCTGTCAATGAAATTCTAAGAGTAATCAGCTGAGATGTGCATTGATTACATCAATAAATAAAAAAAAGAACATAAACCCTGAAAACTTTAACTCTATTAATAAGAAATATCAGTTACTTTATAGTAAAATAAATTCACCTTTACAAAAATGTCTGCCATCTTGAACAACTAATAAGGTAAGATAAACCAGCCAACATACCAAATACTTCAGTAGCTGCCAAGGAAGGAACCTTATAATGCCACTATTAAAAAGTTTTAGACTTAACTTGGTAATCCCAACTAATTGATCATAGGGGAAGAATCATAATTTCTGCAAATTATGCACCAGGGGTTTAAGTTCTCTTTTTCCCACATGCCGGCTTTCTAAAATAAGTCATTAGAGGTGGTGTGATGCAGGGGGATCCGAGACAGATGATGCTGAGCTGTCAGATTGCACGTTGATGGCGCTGAGATACCATGAGTTGGCAGATCAGCGCAAAGGCGGGAATTGATTGTGACATGTTCCTCATTGGGGTCGTTTTGAGTATGTTTCAGTCTTTTGGCCATAACTTTGGCTACAGGTGTCAGAATCGCGCATAAGACCCCAATCCGGAAAGCTCTTTTCGACGCGCACGCTCTCCACATTGAGCTATGCTCCATGTGGCCTTTTTTTCAATCTCAAATTCTGCCGTTTTCCTCCCCGAATCACTAGATTTAGTTATTTTTTACTATTTATGGTAATATTTCGATTGTTAATTAGGAAGTCAATTTAAATCCGATTTAGGCCGGATTTTTGGGAGATTGCTTATTTTATTTCGAATTTCAATTTAGAGTGATTTTTCGGGATTTTGCTATTTTTGGCAAAATTCGAATAAAGACGATTTTTTTGCTATAACAGTCCGGGTTGTGGACTGCTTTTTGCATTGTTTGATTTTATAATATTTTATTAAACCCTAGAGACTTTTTTTCTCTGGTTTTGGGCGAATTTTCTCTTGTGAATCGTCTGTCGGAACTAGCCTACAGGATAATCACTATTCTGTCTGGCGTCATGGTGGCAGTGCATTCTAATCCAATCATCCCTAAATAAACCTTAATATCCTCCATTTTTATTCATAATTGACCATAAACTCTAAATATTGAAACATTTCCTCAAATCTCTCCAACGATCGGTATCATATCTTTTTCTTCTCTCAAACATCCCTTTTTATAACAATGCACATTCATTAATATCTCAACTTTAATAAAAATACTGAGGCTTATTCTCAAGATGGTTAAACTTGTAAGAAGGATGAAAAAGTAACCCAAACAACATTTTGCATTTCATTTATGAATTTAAACAAGGTTGAGACACATTCAGCATGATCACTGATGGACAGAATGAAGGTTCAGACTTCAGAGGCCTAGCTCACTACATTCCAAAAGAGTGAGGGTTTGACGAAAAGAAACACAGAATTTGCAAAATTTGTGTTCAATCAATACTGTAAAAACATCAGGCTTGGAACATGAACGATGATAGGGGGAAAAAGCAATGGTTTCTATTTCCTCTTGAAATTCTGCTTGGGATTACAACTACCAGGAAATAGAAAATAAAAAATAGATTAATTACTTTAGGAACATCAAACCATTGGAAATTTTCAATTGACAAAGGAGTTATATGAATAAATATATATTTACTCAGCACTAAAGAATATACAGGCATACATGTTGAATGGAAAATCTACCAAACAAACAACAGCGTATAAGATAGAGCAAATAAGTTTAGACATCTTAATCAATATAAACCTCAGTGAGCAAAAATAGAAAAAGGAGAAATCTAGAAACCTGATTACAGAGTGGTTCTAATTACAAACTCTACACTGTGATTTGCCTTTCGACCTTAGCTTTGTTAACTCGACTGTAACTTTTAAATGTTGACTTGCCATCTGCAAAGGCCTAAAACAAAAGGATAACCAAGAGAAGCCTATATCCAATGACTTTCACATGGACGTATAAAATTTGCTGCACCAATTTAAAAGGAGAAACAGATTACTTTAGTGTGGCCTTTCCACCCACATTTTGCTCGAAAACACATCCTGGAAGCTGAATACCTATAAATTAGATATATCAACAATGGTTTGCTGACGATTAAGAATAAAAGTAGTTAAAAAGAAAAGAAAAGGATGCAACACGGATTACAGTGATCGAAGCATCAACCAGAGTCATCTCTGTCATGGGAGAGGCCGAGTAAACGGCGAAGAAGCAGCATATGGGTTTGGGTAAACGGTGGGAATGAAAAAATAGGTGAAGGGGAAAAAATGAAAAAGGATTAAAGGGGCGCGGACTTAGAAATTGTAAAATTGCGGCGTTTGTAAATACGAGTCTTTAACGACCTTTGTATAAAAATGACACTAAAGTACGAGCCTTTAGCGGTGTTTATATAAAATGACACTAAAGTACAAGTCTTTAGCAGCGATTGTATACAAACGCCACAATTGTACTAATAAATTGAAGCGTCTATTCAAAAAAAGATGCAATTACAGTATGAATCTCTTACGGCTTTTTTTTTTCAAAAATGTCATTATATATTTTTCCTATTACGGAGTTTGTATAAAAATGCATCTAAAATACGAGTCAAAATTTCTGATTTTGTGACGTTTATTCTAAAAACATTGCGATAACAATGAATTTACCGGCATTCTTTCAAAAAATCTGCTATAAACCCATTTTGGTGTAGTGCGAATTGAAATTAATCCAACTCGAACCCAAATTGAATATGATTTCAAATTAACTTGAAAATGACTTGAACTTGAATCGACTGAACTCAACCTGATTTGAGTCGAACCATCGATTGACCAGGCATAATCTTTGATTTGACTTAATTTAGCATGATCCATCATGAAACCTGAACAATTACCTGATTTCACATCCATATCTTGTGGCCAAAGTAGTATGTGTGATTGGATCACAGAACTTATCATGTTTATTATTTGTTGGGCATCATCTAGCGTCCCAGATCCCGCATAAAAATCTACAAGATATTCTGAACAACTGTAGCATCATATCAATTTGTTTCCATATAGCATTATTGAGATACATAAAAAGAAGAATTAATGTAAAGGTATGTATTTTTGAGTATTTTTAGTGAATTCCAACTTATTGCTTATTGTGATTCGGACATGATAGTATGTTTTATGTCGAGGAAATTCATTATGGAGTTCTAAATAAAATTGAGAGAACCGTTGATTTCCTGAAAATCGAACAAACATAACTCGATTACAAAATCCTTTACAGAAGCAGAATATAGAAATATAACATCTACAACAGCAGGAATTGTTTGGTTAAAATATAACCGAAAAAGTCATCTTTGATAATAAAAAATAAGGGTTGCTGAACCAGCAAAATGGTTGAGCCGAATGAAACCCCTTTCATTCATTCTATATGTTGGACCTGAGCCCATTTGCATCTTTATAGCCCTATTACAAAGCATTACAATAACAAACTTCCTAACTGCACAAACTGTCCTGTTGTTAACCCGACAAACTCTTAACGTAACCCAAACAGTTTTAACAGCTTATTTAACAACTAATCAGTTACACTCCATCCACAGCTCTTCTAAAACCTGATATACTGATTGCCTATTCTAAATTACTAAAGCAAGACACTGCTTTGGTTCGTTCATTGTGATGAATGTGCACGTATTAGATTGTCACAAACTTTCTACATGTATGGAGAAAAACTGGGGGGTGTATAAAATACATTATATAGTCTAATACTAGACATTGCAGTAACATATTTCTCCAAGCTCCTTCAATGTTATTCCGATTCGATGTTCTTTGGATTTTTGTGTTAGGAACTGTTCTAAAGAGTTTTAGGTCGACGGCTCATTGAAGTGAAACAGCCATGATATGACGAACGCGAAAACCATGCAAGCAAGGAGAAAATTGAGTAATCGGTGGCCGTGCCAGAAGTTTCGAGAGTTTATATGGGGTGTCGGTACCATGACTGCAGGCATTGCCGTGGAACTGTTGGTCTCATTCGATTGATCCGTCGACTCGATCTCGGTTACTCCGACTACGTTATGTGCAATAGAATGACAAATCTCACAGGTCCTGAAAAAAGAAAGTGCAGATTGAGTTTGAGAACAAGTATGATACATCACAGTATGATGAAGAGGTAAACACCATTGGACACGATGATAATGACTAATGATGGCTAATTATGTTTAATGAATAATGGACCGCTCAGCACTATAGATCTGATGATAAAATACACACAATAATTACACCACCCGTTTCATTATCTTCATGCTACCTATAATTATAACAACTTCATGATTAGTTTCAACTTTCAACAATCACACCAGCAAGCAATGATCTTAAATTAAAGATAAAGAGCAAGTCCTAAACCTGGAAAAGACAAGCACATAACATCAAAGAATTGTCGGCTTAGTTTTTTTTAACAATTTCGGATGATTAGAAAATAATATCTATTTAAAATTCTTTTAACCTTTTAATAACTCAAACCCTACAAACATGACTATATGAACCCGATTTTTTTTGAAAGAGAATAACATTTGAATTGTCGACTTAGTTAGACATATCATGAGGAGTTGTCAATAATTTTACCTTTTGCTGTACTTTAATTTCTATCAACCTCCTTTTGTAAAATGTATTATCCATATTCCATCCCCACTTTCTTTTCTTTTTTTCACATGCATCTTTTCTAATTTGACTAGGATCCCAACATCCAAACCTTAAATAATCAACATTTTAACATTTCACTAATCAAACAGTAAATTCTAGAAAGACCACCAAAAAGGAGAAAATCCCAAGCCTATGCAAATGATAAACATCAGCAAATCAGTAAAGAGTAAATTCTTTGAACTTACTTATTTCCTCTTATCTTAAACCAAGCCTCGGCACAGTGTTTATGAGCAGCAGCGAGATCATCCTTACAAGAACAACCCAATTCTATAGGAACACCAGATTCATGGCTGTTACTTTCCAGACCCAAATGACAAATTCTACAATCTTTCTCAACTTCAGCCAGATGCACTTTAATTCCATGGACTCCCCTCACAACATCGAACTCCGCCGAGCTGTCCGTCACTCTCCTGGAATCCGACGCATCGCCGATCTCCCCGTCGGAAGCGTAATAGGAACCGCCTACGGTGGAATAAAACTGAGAATAGCAAGAGCCCTCGTCGGCGTCCGAGAAACACACGCTAGCATCGTCGGAGCTGACGTCACTCCCGTTCCGGCGGTGAGTTATTCCTTGCTCTAAATCGATGTGGGACATCTCCGACGAAGACATTGGGAAGCTGAAAAACTTTGGGCTCAAAGTTGAAGCTTTTGAACGAGGTTGGGGATGAAATGTGAGAATTTAAATAAGATGGTATTGGATTAGGTGACCCTTTACCTCCATTAATGAAAAAGAAAAAGAAATGCAAAAATGGAGAAAATCGAAACACCCAAAAACAAGAAGTGGCGCAAAGGTAAAATAAAACAGAAGAATATGGGCGTTTTAAGACAAGATGGTTCTGGTGGTATAGGTGTTGAGGCAGAGGACAAAGAAGAAGGAAAACGTGCAGTGAGTGCATAGAGAACTGAAAAGACAAAGAGACTTCTTTTGTTTACATTATTAGACGAATAAAATATTATTACGACAGAGAAACAGAGTTGCTGGGAGCTTTGGTGTTTACGACTTCAGTTTTGTACTTTGGGATCTTTGTCTTAACTAGATTCTGTACGTCGATGGTATCAGTTTACTGATGTGTGCATCTTTTAACACAATTCTGACGGTTGATGATTGAGATATTTTTTTTTCTCTCTGAGGAATTAATCTTGTAACTCGAGAAAGTTTTGAGGTTGATAAGTTAATTATGGTGGGAGGGGGGGTAATTCTTGTGTAGGACAGTTTAATAATGTTAAGTAAAAACGTAATTTTTTTAAAAAAATAAAAAAGGGGCGATACCACATTATATTTTGAATAAAATAACCTCAGTGATCAAAAATACCTTATAATATACGATTTTAATCAATTTTTTTTAGATTTGCCAAAATGACTAACTAAATCGCAATGCGATCGATAATTCGCAACGCGATCTCCGGTATCGCAAATCAGTTTCCAGATTCGCAACGCGATTCTGACTATCGCATTGCGATTTTCCAAATTCGCGTTGTGATTTTCCGACTATCGCAATGCGAATATGTAAATCGCAATGCGATTATGACTATCGCAATGCGATTATGACTGTCGCAATGCGATTCTGACTGTCGCAACGCGATTCTGACTGTCGCAACACTGAATTTCAAATTCGCAACAGGTTTTAGTTTCGCAACACAAATGTTTTGGGTATATAACTACGCAGCAGAAGCAACTCATAACCTAAATCCCTAAATCGCAACTCATTCCATCTCCATCTATCACTCTCTCCGGCGACATCCGTTCCTATATCCAACGACATCCTTCCCCATCCGCAACAGGTTTTAGTTTCGCAGCTCGTTTGTTTAGTAAATTAATTTACAACAATGAAATCATCTAATGTTGATCATGTTTGGATAGATTTGTGTTTTGGAGGGTCATGGGAGAATGTTCATGGTGTTTTACAATATATGCCTTTACCCATGAATCTTCAACTAAAACTGTCATTAAAAAAGTTAACTTATGAAACTCTAATGTTATGTGTTGCAAATAAATTGAATTTAGAGCCTTTAAGTGGATTTAGGCTATCTTATCAGAGAAAATGTAAAGTTTATTTGTTAACCGACAATGAAGATGTTAAACAATTCATTGCTTACATTAGTGTTTCGCAAGATGATGTTACATTGTATGTTGTTGAACCTAGAAGTAGTGAAGTTGGGTCAGTAGCGGATAGTAATCAACTAAGTTTTTCAACCCCAGTTTATGGTGCTCAAAATTTAATGTTTCCACCACAATTTCATCACCAAGCAAATTTTGTTTCACCACATTTCCAATACCAAACACAATCTCCAAATTCCGATTTTCGTATTAACCAGTTAGACGATGATGAGCCAACAGAAAAAATTGTGAGTACTAGTCGGTATTTGAAATTTGATCTTGGTCAATACCCGGACTTTGATCTTGGTTAATACTCGGATTTTGATGATGTTTCAGAAGAAGAAACAGACACTGCGTGTAATGATTTTGATATTGATCAATACCCGAATTTTGATGATGAAACAACCGCTGCCGAGGAAGATGTTGTTGATGATAATGAGGAGGAAGTTACGATTGTTAATGAACATGTTGAACATCCATTCTGTAATTCATATAACCCTGAAGAAGAAAAAGAAGAAGAAGAAATCCCCGAAGAAAAGTCCCCGAAGAAAATGCCACGGGAGTATAACTGGAATATGCCATAATTACTTCAGATACCGGAAGAAGAGTTGGTAAAAATAGCAGTTGATTGTTACACAAAAATTATTCGTATCAAGAAATATGATTGTTTTGATACAAAGGAAGACTTGAAAATAGCTTTGTATACGAAATGTGTGGAAGATGGCTATCAACTAAAAGTTAACAAATCAAGCAAAGATCGTTTTGAAACAAGGTGTATGATTGACAAAAACTGTACGTGGCGTATGATTGCAAAGAGGATAAAAGATTGCGAAATGTTTCAAGTTAGGACTTTTATTGATAAACATACATGTTCAAGAACCCAAGTTTTTACTCACCATAGACAGGCAAACAAAAAGGTGTTGGGTGGTTTTCTAGCTGAGTTAATGTTTTTGAATGGCATGGTATATCGGGGACATGAAATTATGACTGACATGAATGCTCGGTTCAAGATTAGTATCTCATTCTCAAGCTTGGAGAGCCAAATGTTATGCCTTGGAATTGTTGAGGGGGTCGCCAGAAGCATCGTTTTCCCAACTGCCGGCTTATTGTCACAATTTAAAGCTGAAAAATCCTGGGTTGGTAACTCATATCAAAACAGATAGAGATGGACGCTTTGAGTTGTTGTTTATCGCCATTGCTGCTGCGGTTAGTAAATCAATATAATTTTGTTGACTCATTTTTGTTAGTTACATGCATTTCACATTTAAATGATTATATTTCTTGTGTATATGATTTTGTAGATTCGTTCATTTATTACTTGCATGCGCCCAGTTATTATAGTTGACGGAGCACATTTAAAAGGTCGATACCTTGGAGTAAACTTATTAGTAGTAGCCATGGATGCTAACAATGGGATACTGCCAATAGCTTACGGGGTTGGCAAATCTGAAACCTCTGATTCATGGACATGGTTTATGGGGCATCTTAGGGATTGCATAGGTCCTATTAGCAATCTGACAATCATATCCGATAGGGCAAACTCAATTGACAACGCTGTTAGAAGGTGTTTCCCATATGTTTTTCATGGACTTTGTGGTGTTCATTTATATAGAAATCTAAAATCAAGGTCTGCTGGTATAAAAAATCACAAATGGACATATTGGAAGGCTGTAAAAGCTTATCGGGAAGTGGATTTTAATAAGCATATAAATTGTTTAAGACGTGTTTTGCCTCAGTGTGCTCAAACACAAGAAGATTTCAGGTTTGAAAGATGGTCAAGAGTACATCAACTTGGAGCAAGATATGGTTTTATGACATCTAATAGTGCAGAATCAATCAACGTTCTAAGTCGTCATTCCCGAAAATTACCCATTACTATGTTAATGGAGTTTTTTCGAGCCTCTATTCAACAGTGGTACTACAAGAAAAGAAACCATGCAGGTATTATTTCTTTAAATTCGTAACTTATCATATATTTTACTAAGTATTATTTATTTAAATTTACAGGAACATTGGAACATCGTGTTACACCATGGACTGTAAAAAAGATAACGAAACGTGTTGTGAAGTCAACGTCATGGAGAGTTGAACCATGTTCAAACACTTTGTTTGAAGTACTGGATAATAACTTAAATGGGCTTGTCGATCTAATTGAAAAGACGTGTAGTTGTATGTAATGGAAAACATCTGGTTATCCGTGTGGGCATGTTATAAAAGTTGCTCTTCATCTAAACCAAGATGATTCAAGCGCATACGCTATGGATTGCTACACTACAGAAGTATATCGACAGACTTATGCCGAGATTATCTATCCTATTCCACATCCTTCTGAGTAGGCATACCAGATGACTTACAAACAGTTTTGCCATCAGCCATGGACAGAAGGCTACCTGGCCGACCAAAAAGTAACGATCGTATACCGTCTAAGGGTGAAGAGAAGAAGAGATCGACATGTAGTCGGTGCAAGGAAAGTGGTCATACTGGATCACCAGTGCCATCACAATCATCTTTTCCTCTACCAAAATATGGATCCTCATCAAAATCCAAAGCTCATATGGTGTCAAGAAAAAGGCAATCAAAATCGCAATCAAAATCAAAATCCCAATCACAACCGGCTTCACCTTTTGGGACTATTAACTTAGGTGATTTTTAAATGCAAACGTTGTATTATGTGTAAACTTTTAACATTTTCATTTAGGCATGTATTAGTAACTTGAGTTTGAATATTGCTATGATCTGTTCAGTTGTTATCACTTATTACACATTCATTTGAATATCGCAACGCGAATTTGACTATTATGTGTATTTTATGTGTAAACTTTTAACATTTTTCAGTTAGGCATGTATTAGTAACTTGAGTTTGAACATTGCTATGATATGTTCAGTTGTTATCACTTATTACACATTCATTTGAATATCGCAACGCAAATTTGACTATCGCAACGCGAATTTGATTATCGCAACTCAAAAATCGCAACGCGAATTTGACTATCGCAACACGAATATGACTATCGCAACGCAAAAATCGCAACGCGAATTTATCTATCGCAACGCGAATTTATCTATCTCAACGCGAATTTGACTATCGCAACGCGAAATTGATTATCGCAACGGCTATTTGACTATCGCAACGTGAATTTGACTATCGCAACGCGAATTTGAGTATCGCAACGAGAATTTGATTATCGCAACAGGTATTTGACTATCGCAACGAGAAAATCGCAAAGCGTATTAGACTATCGCAATGCGAATTGACTTTCGCGTTGCGATTTTGTCTTTCGCATTGCGATTTTGAGTTTAGCGTTGCGAAAGTGTACCTCCAATAGGTCTTTTGCCTTCAATATGATGCAGATTGAAATCAACAAATCAACTTTTACATTTCAATCAATTAAACAAGCACAAATAAGAATTATTTACACATCAATATTAAACAAATCAACTTTTACAAATAATTTTTATAAATCAATTAAACAAGCAAAAAATTATATAATTCTTATTTTCCTTATCAATTAAACAAATCAGACTTTTAAGAATCAATTAAACAATAAAAAAAGTGTACCCCAGACAGTTGTTTATGCACCCATACATCAATTTCACGCAGCTCACTTCAGGATTAACCTGCAAAAACCAAACATTTGCTCAAATAACACTTTCTACACATCTAAAACCAACAAACAGCAAATTATTATTGAATTCTAGGAACTT